CATCATATTCAGAAGAAAGGGGAACAAGGTGTATCAGATTCATAGAAATGATCCTAACAAGGATTTTAAGTACTTAAGGATTTCCTGAATATTCAATATTTTAGTAAATCATTAAGCCTTATTACATTTTTACAATAGTAATAATGAGTTATGCATAAATACAAGTGATGTTCATTGTTGATCTTTATTTATTCAATCAGACAGAGTTGTATAACACCTTTATCCTCTTTTCGCTTCTTATTTCTCTCTTGTTCAGGTTTTTTGGTATATTTTCCGGCTTCTTAAATAGTATATTTTTGGAAATTAGCCATTGAAGGATGAATGATCAAAAAGTACTTTGATCTCTTTTTCAGTATAGGAGGTGAGCTCTTTAATCACTGAACCTTCAGAAGAAACTTGTACTTATAGAGTCATTGGGAGAGATTATCCATAAAGTATGTCAACACTTCTTGAGCCTTGTGATTGTAGACTATAGTTGCAGAACTTATTGGACATAGTGGTACTTTTTCTTTAGTACGAATAATCATGAAATTTGTCGCAGATTTTGAAAGCCTTATTAGAAGATAATTTCAATTTTGAGAGTTGAATTAAACGTAATGCTTCTTCAGGTGCTGAGATAATCAGCATTTGAATTCATTCTATAAAATAGCTTGGTAATATGTTCTTCTTTGCAGAAGTCGTTCCTCCTTAACAGATTCTGAATAAGATTCTTTAAGTATTATGACCTGCACACATAATCAAACATTAAATAACACCATTGTTCTTTTAATATTGTTGTTATCATCAAAACCTAAGTGGAAAACATCAAGAGCAAATTTTGATTTAACAATCTCTCCTTTTTTTATTATGACAAACAAGAGTATTTAAAGAACAACGTTTGGGCTATTTTAAATTTTCTTAGATACCATCAGAGCAAGAGGTGTGAAAGCTCCCCTTGAGTTCAGTTTCTAAACAATTTTAAAATATCTTTAGTTTTCTTAGCAACATCAGGGTACGATGTTTGTAAGCTCCTCCTAAGTCTAGTAGTCCAAATTTAAGTTCTGAGAACTTATCCTAAGTTCCATTTTTCAAAAAAACTGTAAATTTTAACTTTCTTAACACTTAACAGAGAACAGGAAATATGTAAACTCCCCCATAGATCAATGTAAGAAGAACGTCCCTCATTCATCTCACTTACCCAGTTATCTCTTCTCCCTCTCTCAAAAGTTGTCCTAGCCAGAAATCACTCTGTCACGCCGTAAATTGCTCTGTCGCACTGGAAATCACCTCCAGCGGAGGCAAAGCTAAGAAACGCCTCAAACCACCACCGTCTTAAACCACTCTCCAACCTCTTTTCATTTTTGAACATCAATTTCAACAAATATAAGCCTAATCACAACAATCTTAACCTAAACATAAGCCCTAAAAGTTTTTAAACACAAACTAAATCACATATGTTCGTGAATCCAAGGCACAACCATAGGCCTTTAGCTCATGTAAGCATCTCTATAACATGGTAACAACGATGGAAGAAGATATGAAGGATTGAGGCCACCTACCAACGAGACTGAGGCTTATCTAGGTCATTGTTACAAGGCATTTAAAGATGAAGATGAAGAATAGAAACCCAGAGATATGCATTTTCAGGTAAGAATTATGTACCCTAGATTTCTATAAACTCTTCTTCTCTTCTTCTTCTTCTTTAAACTTCTGAGTCACTACAATGATGGATTATGGTTGTTAGAATAAAGTAGCAATAGAGATATAAAGCTAGGTCGAATTTGCAGAGAATTGAGGATTAGACAAATGACTTAGTGTAGAGGTCAAGCTTTATTGCACACAACTTCAAAGATTGAAGCTCTTTCAATGGTGGAGAGGGAGAGCTTTAGTGAGTTTGTGAGGTTTGAGTATTCAAACTAGTAGAGTTTATGTAGAGTAGATGAAGATTCTTGGTGAAGCAATGAGAGTAAGGTTTATGTAGATGGAATGAAGATGAGATTTGAAGGGAAGTGTAGTTACAAACAATTAGGATTGAATCAATTTTGACCCTTGGATGGTGATCATGGCCTTGGAATTATCAAGGGTGGAAATTCATTAATGAATTAGTTAGGGTTGTGTGTTAGTTGGAGTAAAAAAAGTGAGACGGTTGTGTTTGTTTTCAATTGAAATCAATGTAAAAAATGGGATAGAAGTGTGTTTTTTGGAGGCTTAGAAGTTAGTTGTGATTTTGAAAGCTAGTTAGTGTGTTTAGAGGGAAATTTGAAGTGGGGGCATTTAGGTCATTTCCCCTGCACACGTGGCATATGTCATTTGGAAGTTAGTTAATGGTTGTTAGGTTAGTTAATAGTTGGTTAGATGTTAGGTTAGAGTCAGTTAATAGTTTGTGTCAGTTACAAGGTAAATGGTGGTTAAGGGTTAGCTTGCTAACTGTTAGTTTTAGGGTTAAGTTAGCAACTAACTTGGTCAGTTAGGGCAGGTGATTTTTGGCTTGTAACTGACTTGGTTAGTTAGCTATAGTTGAAGTTATGGCAGTGTTTTTTGAAGGTGGGAAAAACACTTAGAAAGGGGGTTGGATAAGGGTTTTGAAAATAATATGGCAATAAAAACAACACAGTATTTTTATCCTGGTTCGTTGAACTCAACTAATCCAGTCCACCCACTCAAGGTGATTTGTCTTTCTCAACAAGGACTTAATCCACTATAGTCGAACTGATTACAATGTAACCCACTAAGAACAACTGTCTTAGTCTTCTCAAGAAATCCTGACCACAACTTGGTCTTCTTAAGGAACCTTTACAATCAAATGTAAACTAAACAAGTGTTTAAAATGTTTCTAAGAAAGCTATATCACAACTGTGATTTACACTTAAGTTTAAGAACGAAAGATAAACTATTCAACAAAGAAATATAATTTGTATGTGAGCTTGTGAGTAGTTTTCAGTTTGATTTCTCAGTATTTCGTCAATGTTCGTCAACTGAAGAAAGTTGTTGAAGGCTTGCTTTTATAGAGAGAAAAGTCCAAGACGTTGCAAGCTTGAAGACCGTGTACTGCAAAGTAGCTGTGGCCTTTTTGTCTTCTAATGACTCTAGCTTTCCCAGCAGAGGAATGTTCAGACTAATCCTTTTTGTCTGAATTCCTGTGTCTATCACAAAAGAGAAAAGAGACGTTTGGAATATGCCAACGGATATATCTTTGAATAATATCTTCTTCAACAAGCTTCTATCTTACAGTTATCAACATCAGAGTCTTGAGTGATCAGAGTCTTGATGTTATCAGAGTTTTGCTAGATCAGAGTGTTGCAGCCAATGTGCTTCAGCGTGAATATTACTCAGAGCAAAGTTTGGAGATCATATTCTCAGTACTTGCAGCGAACAGTACTATCAGAGTCTTCTGAAAAACAATGCTTGAAACTCTTCATACAAAATCTTCAACTACGCTTCAGATGCTTTTGTAGCTTCTGCTTCAGAGTCTTCTGGCAGCGCTCAGAGCCTTCTGATGACATGCTTCTGATGCTTCATATGCTTAGCGTAGAGAACGTTCAGATGCATTTTTGCTTCCTTAAGAGTATTAGAATTAATATCTGAAACAAAAATACTTGAACAAAATTAGAGTATATATTTTCCTAATACAAAATTTCATTAGTGTTATCATCAAAACATAGAGATATAATTAAACACCAATCTGTATTATAACAATCTCCCCCTTTTTGATGATGACAAAAACATAGGAAATTTTGTTCACATAAAATGGAAACAAATATATAACTCCCCCTGAGATACAGAATCTCCCCCTGAAATGAATACTCTAATAGAAATAGATACTTCCCTTTTTGCATGAGTATTATTATCAGAATAAGAGCCTGATTTGAATTCTGGTTAGAATAAACTTTCCAGAATCAGAGTATGGTTAAATTGTTTTTCTTGATTTACTTTCCAGAATCAGAGCTTTGGTTATCAGAACCTGGTTTATCATTTTAGAATCAAAGTCTGGTTTGATGTTTCAGTATCAGAGCAAGGTTTGTATTAAACGTTTCAGAGTCAGAGTCTGGTTAAAAAATGACTTGATTTTAGTAGGGTCATTGTTAGTTGGTAAGTTGATGTTACTCTCTGAACTATCAAGAAAGGAATTACAACTGATGAAGTCAAACCTATCAAGAAAGGAATTGCAATTGGCAAATGGGAGGTGGATTTGGATCTTAACTGTATGGGTGCATCTGTTGTCCATCTTCGATTTCACGAATAGGCTCAGTTATATGATGTTCTCTAACAAACTAATTTTTCACCAAACCACAAGATTGTCCATCTTCGATTTCACCAATAGGCTCAGTTATATGATGTTCTCTAACAAACTAATTTTTCACCAAACCACAAGATCAATCAAACGTGCTCTCTCAACCTTGAGGACAGGGTTGTTTATAAGAGAGTGTCATTATAGGATACTTGGACACTTAGCATATTCTAAAAAGGTTGTAGAATACGCGAAGTAAGAGTTCTTTAGGATATTCCCTGATTTTAGGGAATTTCTACTCTCCATTTTATGAGCAATTCTGCATTGGTTTAGAGTTCAGATTTCTGTTTCCTCCACCATTGTAAGAGCTTTAAACTCAGCCACTTGCAATTAATAATAGACTTTTGTTTCTTGTAAATTTTGGTTTCTTTAATTCTGGTTTCAATCAGTATAACTGTCAACAACTATTTTAAAAGCAACGTTAAGTAAACATGTAAAACAACATCAACACTGTATTTTATGAGGTTATTTGGATTATTTTTTTATATTTTTCCTTCACCTCCGGATGCATGTAAAGACTAATTTGATTACACAGCTCAGAGAATGAATAGTAGGACTCCTATTTTAAAAGGAAGAGAAAAAATTGTCTCTTAAAAACCAGCTTCTTTGAAGGGAAACACTAAGAACAATAATACAGCATCTAAATTTAGTCCGTATTGCAAACATAAATAACTGGACGGTAAACCTTGTACATTTAGGCATTATTATCTGGGCTATATTCAACTGAGCACCTTCAGAGTGATGAATTCAAACCACATAGATTAACGGAGCCAGAAAGGACTGTCCGTTTTCTCTCTTTCACCAATGTCCTATAAATAACCCTACACAATTTTAAATATTCAACTTATAATATGAATCTGAATTTCCGACGGCAAGAAACTTTAGGTATGTTAGAAAACTTTTCGTAACAAAAATATGTTAAAAGGGTATAGAGAAAATAATATGCTTATGAATGTATCAAACAATGAACCTACCTCGAGCCTTCAAGCCACATCTCGGTAACGAGAGTCTCACCAGGGTAGACATGTAAAAGAAAACGGCCAGTTATGCTTTTTATCCTGTCGGAATCTCCTTTGCATATGGTTTTGATGATTGCCCTAACAGCAAATCCTAATGTGCATAACCCATGCAATATTGGCTGCGAGAATCTTTGGCAATCAATTATAAGCATTAGATTAGCAGTACAATGCAAATCCATATAATAATAAAAAATCTCAAAACAATAGTCACAAACTGATGGTTTTAGATCTTAAAATGCCAAATTACCACCGTGTCTATGTGTTTAATTTGTATGACCAATCCTCTTTACTTCAAACAAAGACCCCATGGCTTAAAGGGAAAATTCTCATTCACTCAATTCAAAAAGCACTCCAGTAATTCAAATGGGGAAAATGGAAAATTACAATCTAATTGAAGTTTCCAGTTTTGAATAATATAGCGGCATTAAGAAGACAGGATGAAAGTACTAACCCGGCAACCTTTGCAAACTGGGGATCTGAATGCAGAGGATTGTAATCACCGGATAGCCTGTAGAGCAATGCCTGCAAAACAGAAGAGACATTCAGAATTTGTACAGAAATCTAAAATAAAGCATATCAAAATTTTTCAGCCAAATTGATGCCTAAAAGATCTATTGTGTACATTAGACTATCAACTAAACCAAAGTTGTAAAGCATTTAAGATAATGCGAAGACAATTTCATGTAACAGGCATGTTTCATGTCTTAGAACCAAATTTATTACAGAGAGGGTAATAGAGCAAAGGCAAAGGCAAGGAACTCTAAATCCCATGTAATAGGCATGATTTCATGTCTTAGATCAAAATTTGTTACAAAGAGAATAATAGACCAAAAGGCTAGGAAATGGGGGGAAGGATAAAAAACTGCTGCAAATTAACAAGGCAATTTATTTTAAACATGATTGAATAGCTGTAACATGCCTGAGATGGGTGTGTACGATCCTCAAACACTGAAAAAGGTTTACTTTCAGGAATTTTTACAGCTGAGGTCTGGTTTGAAGGGTAACTTGAGTAGGAAAATGGTTTAGATGACTTCGAGAAGCCACCAGCACCGCGAAGATATACTGTTGATCTGCAAGAAACTTACCATTGATGTGTGAGTGTAACAAATATCAGAGTTATCGATAGAGGGCCGATAGCGGCGCTATCCCGGGATAGCATCCCAGAGCGGTGACCCTCCACTATGGAGGAGCGGCTCTCGTCCTAGATTAAGATAGCGGACGCTATTTGAGGTTTAGCGGATAGTGGGAGTGTGGCGCTTCCCGGCCCAAGCGGATTTCATCAGTTTCGAAAGCGAAACTCGAGAATTACCCTTAAAAAAAGAAACATTGGAATTTTTTGGAGGAATTTTTCCGATTTGCCTGAACTCAAAACACAAAAAGAGTAATCCGTCTTTTTCTCAGACGCTTTTGCTTAATTTTTCAAGTTTTCTTCTCTTCTTCTTTCTTCTTTTTTCTTTTCTCTTCTTTCCTTTCTTCTTCTTTCTTCTTTCTTTTCTCTTCTTTCCTTTCTTCTTCTTTCTTCCTCTGTTTTTTCCTTCTTTCTTCTTCGTTACGTACTGTCTTTCTTCAAAGTTTTCTTCCTCTTTTTTTTAAAGTCTTCTTCCACTTTTACTTAGGCTATTTCTCCTGTCTTTTTCTTTTAAGTAATAGTATTTTATTAAATTTATTCCTCTTTTACTTTTACTTACTTTGTTTCTCCTCTATTCTATTTTAAGGATAGTTTAGCTTTACATTTTATAGATTATTCATATAAATAATCCAAAAAATAGTCAAATAACGGCTATCGCACTATCCACTATCCCGCTATCCCATTTTTGAGGTCGCCTGCTCCACTCCGCTATCTGGTATTGATAACTCTGATAAAAATTAAAAGGAATGTTTTCGGCGTTACCTGTTCATGCATAATAAATCACCAGATTCTTTCTCATAACTTTTTGTTTCAATCTCCAAAATTGCTGCTTTGCCTGAAATTTAAGCAACATCACATCTTTAAGAATAGAATAAGAAGATAAGGAATTAAAAAATTGACACTTACATGAGATATATATATTTTTATTATGTTAAAGTGAAACTGTACAGCAAACACATGCACAACAGATCATTAAGTAAAAACTGTTTTGGCAATTCAACCTTTGTCATGCAATCCTGCGACACTGACTTTATTTTGCATCTGTAACAATAAAAGGTATATTATGAGCTTATATATGAAGATTAAGAGAAAATGATTAGACATTAAACTGATTAGGCTGACGAAAACTAAACCTATTTCTGAATATCATAATTGTAAAGTATCGAGCGAGGAATGGGGATATATTTTGGGGTTGAAGAAATTCGTGTTCAAAAAATTTTGATGCAAATTAGATAGATATTAAATTTTAGGGACATGCTAACTTGTGCTCTATGAGCAAATGTTAAGAATTCCACAAATAGTAATTATGTCTTGAAAAACAATTTTTAACTTTTTAAGAAATAAAATGTACAATTTTAATACAAAGTTTCTATCTTTAGTACACCAACAAGTGCCCTAAGGCACATATTAGCATTTCCCTAAATTTAATTACACAAAATCTAATATATATCACTACTTGCTTCAGACTACATCAGACCTTTTTACCCTCTCTATTTTAATTATAAAAATAAAAAAAATAAAAATATCGACACCCCATTCTTCTCGAGAAAATATAGTTTTAGTTCTCACCATAAGTCATTGGAATGTTAATGTGATGTGGCGAAGAAAAGGCAACTACTTCACATATGCATAGAAATGACAATAGGTCTAGAAAAGTCAACTATTTCACATATGCATAGAAATGATAATAGGTCTAGAAACGAAAATAGGTCCGATGCTTGAATTTCATAAAGAACTTTTCATTTCTAAAAGATGAAAGCCTTTATTGCATTAAAATTTAAATTTCCTATGAATTTCATTTGAGCTAAAATTGGAACAAGAAATCATTAGCTGACAATTCAATTCAAGTGTCCAGTATGCCAAATATTAATGAGAAACCTTACATGACAGCTGGAAGGAAGTGGTTTGTACAGCTCTATGTATTGTTGTCCATGCAGCAGAAGGCGTGGATCATATCTGTCATACATAAAGTTCTAGTTTGGATTAAACATCAGGATAGCCAGAAAAGGAAGATCAACAATACAATATGACAGAAAATGGAATATGAAACTTAAGCATTACACATTCCTCCATAAATTATATACATGAAGTATAAGCGCAAACATATAGAGAATAGTGAGCAGCACTCACTGCAAGCCAGGGAGATCAAAACCATTGGGCAATGATTCAAGTGTAAGTAAAGCAGCAAATGTAGGTAAGACCTAAAGAGCAGAAAATGATGCATACGTCAGAGATATTTTGCCACAATTGTGTCTAAAAAGAGCCTGCCCAAACAAAAATGAATTATTAGCAATATCTTGTCATAAGTTAAGCTTGATTGTTGAACATGGTTATGTTACATTACGCATGCCTAAACAAAAATGAATTATTAGCAATATCTTGTCATAAGTTAAGGTTGCACATGATTATGTTACATTACACATTCATCAAGAATATTTTAAAAGTAGCAAAATCCTAACAAACTTCTGATCATATAAGAAATTAGACATGCATTTTATGTTACAAGAGAATAAACGTATTAAAGTAATCATTTTACTAACAACAGTTTGAAAATAAGCAATACCTTGATAGCCTTCTGACCGTCTTCATGGTAAACATATTTAAGCTCGTCCTCATCAACAGCATCCGAAGCACATGCCCCAATGCCTAAGGCATAAAGTGCTGCATCTCTGTCGAGCACGTGATTTGAAGCACAATTACTAATGCATTTTCTTTTCATTGAAACTCATTTCAATAACCATTTTCATTTATCATTTGAAAGTAGGCCTTACCTTTCGGTATAAGAGTAGGTACTCTGCAATCCATTCCATGGGAGCATAACAAAAACAGAAGTTCAGAATTCAATTATTCAATTTAGACTCTGATTGGGTAAACAGTTTAATTTAACGCATATGCCTTATAACATAACCACTTATTATATAACTGCTTATGTATAAGTTATTTGTATAATAGAATAAAATAAACTCGGAATGTTTTCATATAAGTTCTAAGCTATTTTCATAAGCTAAACAATCTTACAACTGGTTATGTCATTAGATAAAATCCAATAAGCCAATCAAAAGTGTGATCATCGAGACATATTCTTGGAATATTCCACACCACTATTTTATGTTTGCCGTTTATATTGTTTTTCTCTATTGTTGTGAGTATGACATTTCTACAAACACTTTGTCTACAAAAACCTAAAAACAAAATAAGAGAAAGGTGATTTCAATAACAATAAGGAAAAAGAGAGATACATCGGGGAACTTGTGAGAAACTGCGAGTGAAGGATCGAACTCCGATTGATCCGCCATGAAACCTGGAAGATCGATCAAGCAAATCAAACACAAAAAAGGGTCAAATCAATTAGGGTTTTGTTGTGATTGAGAGAAAATAAAGATGCGAGGTTGTTGTTGCGGGTTTTCTTTGCTTACCTTCAAATTAAGCTTTTCAAAGTTCTGGAAATGAACATAAAAAACTTATCTTTTTTTGTTATAGTCAAATATATTTTTTATATAAAAATAATATTTATGATAAAATATATTTTTAATGATGTAATAATAAATCGTTAGTCTCTTGTTTAACGAGAAAGTGATAGTTACTATGCACTTTTGAATATGATCGTGATACATTGTACTTGGACATTGTCTTAAAATAAGGTAATGTTATTGCTTATTTTGTCGGTAATAATATTTAGTATTTTTGGAAAAAAAATAAAACATTAACTAGTATTTATTATAGGGAAATAAAACATTAACTAGTATTTGTTATAGGGAAATAAAACATTAACTAGTATTTGTTATAGGGAGAGATAAAATAAAATCGTAAATAATTAAAATGAACACTAAAATTAAACAAAATCTATTAGTCTTTTTTAAAATAATTTGTGTCTATACAAAATATTTTGTTGGAAATTTAGAAATAGAGTGAGAATGGGTGATTACGAAGAATTACAATGATTTGGGCTTTTGATATGATGACGAGGGGTTGATATGTAAGGTTATAACTTCAACATTCAAGTTAGTATGTGAGGAAGAAAATTAAATTTGAAATTGAGTATATGAAACTGATGAGCTTTTATATTTATAATGGAGTGGTCATACCAACCTGTTATTTGTTAGGCGTGCAATGCTGGGAGTCCTTAAATGTATTTAAGGATTGGATCATTTATATTCATATGCATGATAGCTCTCATTTGTGAAAAGGTTCTATATAACATGTATCCTTCTTTATATGGTCAGCTTAGAACAGTTGTCCTTCAAGCCCGTGGTCGTGCAAGGGTTTGTCTTATCTATCTCGACGTTTGACTACTCTTCTGATGCACTTATAAGTCAAAAGGAGGCGTTACTGTCTTGGGATTTGCGCATTTAATGTGTCATATGCTTCAAATCTCTTTTTGGAGGTACCCTCGTAATGACTCTTGGGAACTGGAATACTTAAGTGTTGCGTGTAAGTGATTTGAAACGTTGACGGGGCATATTTTCCTTACGTACAATTTTTGAAGAGTAAACTCCCAGTTTCTTTAAGTTATCTTTCATAATTCGTTGTTATCTTATTTCCTTTGATATTTTGTTTTTCTATATTTGGAAAAAATTGTATCCATCAAGAGGTAAAAGTCGAAGGAAGATGTCCGTGTTTCGTGGATAGATTTTATTTATTGTTCAATCGTTTTTATCTTCAGTCGAAAGGGCAATGTTGATGGGGCTTTTCTTGATGTCGGTTTATATTCAAGTTGGGGTGTTTTAACTCCCATAGAAAATGATATAATATGCAGCGAGTGTGGTGATTGCACCATCCCTTTTTATGAATGCATTTTCTCGACCCTAGGTCTTTGACTACCCTTAGATGTCTTTGAGATGGAAGTTATAAAGAATTTGATAGTGGCACCATCGTAGCTTCACCCTGCGAGTAAGCGTATGTGAAATCCTTCTAGTATTTGTGTGCATAATTGAATGGGAAGCCTTCTCTCACTCTTTTATTTCCTTTTTATGAGTTCACTATAGTCTTGTAACTCAAGTGCGGGTCGATGCTTAGTTTCCCTGGTGTCGATCTTCGGTGGCTTTGGGCTTTCTTTGAGAACTTGAAACATTTTGAAGATCGATTTTTCATGGTTACCTTTATAGGCCCATGCAGTGATCTACACGGTCGAAGATTGAGTGGAGGTAAATGTGTTGAGTTGTTCCCAAAGTATTGGAATGTTAGCCATTTCCTGATAGGAAATGGGTTATACGTCTACGAATTGGAAAACCTTTCTCAAGAAGATTTGTATTCGAAGAAACGGTTGATAAGTTTTGTCAAAGAACTTGGTTATACTAGGGGGTTACTCCTTCGGGTGAAGCTTCCCAGAAAGGCTTGAAACACCTTGTCAACCCCCACATACTGGTTGACGCCCATAGTATGGAAGAAAGGAAGATTATTTTTGGTAAGTCTTAAAAGCTCTTGGCTTCTTTGTCTTCAGCTTGTTTGCTTATGATATATTTAGTTTAGTAACGATTGTATGCAGATTCAATGAAGGATGAGGAAGTGTTTCAGCTCTTACGGTGGGGGAATTTGGCCAGAAAGAAATGTACACTACTACAAATAATACATTTTATGACAAAGCTTTTACCTCGACCAACAAATAACTGAGGTATATTTCTTGGGTGTGCCATGTTTAATTTTTTTTAAACATACAATCTATTCCTTCAGATTTTTGTAATAACTGAGGGAATAAATCTATTAGGGTTCATGTTTTGATTCCTCATTACTGCATTTTATATTTTTGGTTTATTTTTCAATTGGCTTAGGATGTACCAAGCATTACGTTTATTTCAGTTGGTGCCTTTACCTATTTGTTTTCTCTTTTACCGCCTCCTTGAGAGATATGTTGTCAACATCAAAAAAGAGAGGAGAATATGGATCTATGTGCTTGCAGGTGTGGAGCTAATGATACATATATTGTTGACCATCTTAATATTTTGATGATGACAACGCTGATGATTGTTGAAGTCGATGGTGATATCTTTCTAACCCTTTGATGATGATGATGATTAACTTGAAGATATCTCAAGTCTCATCTTGTAGAATATTTAAGGTTCTAATTAAGTACTTATATGATCAACATATCTGGAAAAGGAATTTGAAAGCTTTAGAGTTGTGAAAGAGATCAAATGTGAAATCTCACCTGGTCGTGGTTGTTTGAGTGATCAGAGTCTTATGAAAGTAGAAGAGTGACTCCTAAAATACTAAGACAACTCACACACACCTATAAATTTTTAAGGATTATCTTTATTTGAAAACTCATCTAAAAATATTGTGAAGCTTAATCAACTGATTAAGAGAGTGTCTGAATTCATTGGAAGACTTTTCCACTAAATAAACGATTAGACCTAAATACCTAATCGATTATTTTCTATTGGTTGAGTCTAAAATCAATTGAGACGGTCTCTTAATGATTGCCAACAGTTGAGACAGTCTCTTAATCATTGGAAGACTTTTCCACTAAATAAACGATTAGACCTAAATACATAATCGATTATTTTTTGCTTGAATAATCGATTATAGAGACTAAATAATTGATTATCTGAATCGATTATTTAGTTAATGTAGCCCATGGATTGTTTAGTTTTTTAGCCTTACGTTCTCCTATATAAATGAGGCCTCTTCTCACTTGAAATCACACCAGAATTCATAGTTTTCCTATTTCGTACCATTTTATTACTCTCCTCTTATCTCTTTGATATTTTCTCTTCATTAAATTTGTCTTAGTGTCTTATGAGTGAAAACTACTTATGAGGAAACTATTGTACTGGTATTGTGTCATTATTTATTTTAAAAGTGTGATTTTGTTGAAGGTTCGTGTTTGGTTCATGAGATAAATTAGTGAAAATCTTTGTTTGGTTCTAGAACTTAGCCAATAAAAGTTCATTTTGGTTATTGAGATTAGCCGATAAAATCTCTACTTGGTCTGTGAACTAAGCCTGTAGAAAAAGCTTGTGTTTTGTTAGGGGGATAAGTCTGTGTAAAATATATCGATTAGATTGTAACAAAGGTTAGTGGGCATAACTTATAAAAACTCAAGATTATTAATAAACTCTCAAGAATATCTCTTGAGGGCAGGATTAGGCCAACATTTAGGTGAACATGTATAACTATCGGTCTCATCTCTTTAATTTTATCTCTTTAAATTCAGACATTTAAATTATTGTATTATTTATGTCGCTGCTTTTCACTCTATTTTTTAAATACTAACACAAAATGTTGTTTTAATTAAGAAAACTTTAAACCTAATCACAAAATATAAATACAATAATTCACATATCCCCTCTCTTGTACTTGAAGTCACATGTCCATCAAACACATTTGGCATACCCCAAATTTTACCCTTAGATTCTTTAATCTTTTGCATATCATTTTAGGTCAATCATCCTTGCATAACAAACTAGATTATCAGACTTTGTTTATTTTATTTCTCTTGTGAATCAGGGTTTGCTTCAAGGGTCGGTCGATCAAGGTTTTGGATATTTCATTCACCAGTTAAGTTTTCATGCTCTTAAGAGATTTCCCTTCCTCAATAATCCAGTGCAGTATGGCTTCACCACAAGTCCTTTGAGGCCCAAGTCTTGTAAGACTGAATCCAGGATCAAGCAAGGTTATCAAGTCAAGGGTCTGTGCGGTGTAGTTTAAGATTTAGTGGAAGTTTGACCTAATCTTGGTCAAACAAATGGTTTGTTTCAGTATCAGGTTATTAGGCTGTAACAAAATTATAAATCAGGTTTTTGATTCTCATTAAGTCATTGTTCAGTGTACACTCAAGGCGCGATGATTAGGATTTCTCACCCTTTGTGTTTAAGTCAGGCAAGTGTCGTTTAGTTGAGTGTCACTTGAGGCTAGCAGGTTAAAATGTATGTGCACAGTAGTTTTCAGTTCAATTGGACGTGATTTGGTCTTGGTCAAGAAAAAGGAGGTTGTGTCATTCTCAAGATGGATATTGTCATGAATAAATGCCTTATGCTTGAGGACTATCAAACCAGGGTTTTGTGTCAGTTCAAGTTTACCTGATGAAGTCACGTTTTAGATCTATTTAAAGTCAAGACATTCAGTCAGTTACTTCAAGTCCTGATTATGTGGTTCATGCTTTCTTTTCAAAGGAAGACTTAAGCTTTCTGTCCAATTCAAGTTGGAATCAAAATGTGGTGTCATGTCTCATGGATTTGATTCAAAGTCTCAATACATTTCTGGTATGATTTTAATGAAGAGTTCGAGATGCTGAAATATGGTTTCAAAGACAATTTGTTGAATCAAGTCAAGAGTGTTAGTTATACAAAATTGTTTC